TATGTTGTCGAGCTTGTAGCCCGAGTGAGACAATTTTTTCGACTGTGTCTGACCTGATGACATAAATCACACTTTCTTTCTAGCTTGTCAAGAGAGTCCATTTCAGTTGTGATACACTTGCTTTTGAGACGACCCTTTTTATTCCTTCGTATTTGATCATTGTGCCATACTATTTCCCCGTCGTATGCAGGCCAATAATCAGGTTTCATTATCATTGGGAAGCCATTGTTGTATACGTTGAGCAAGATTTCAGACTTGTAAATGAGAGATAGAAGTAGTAATGCATCTTGATGAGTATACGCACATGCCACAATGACATGAGAGTAAGGCATACGAAAAACTTGAAACTTTCTACAGTCGCACCAATGAGATGGTAGTATAACCCTATACTCTTGTCTTGATAGCCCCTCGTTATGGTCGATTGTCTCTTTGACAATGAAGTTGTAACTATGTCGGTCAAACATTATAACAAGATGGGTGTTGGCTTTGGCACTTTCTGCCTTAATATACTTCATGCAACTTCCACTCCATAGTTGTCCCGATTGTAAGACTGTATTCCATATTTCACCTCTTTTTGCAAACAATGAAGCCATCCTAAAATTTATTGATTTCACCAAAGCGATTACTGGGAGGTTTCGTATGCTTTTGAATACACCGTTCATTGATTCAATAAGATTTGTTGTCATGTGGCCCCATTGTTGTCCATTCTCCAATGGAATATTATTAATCCACCTACCTGTATCCGAATTTGACAATCTGATCTCGTTGCGATAGTATTTGAACGAATGTTGTATTAATGAATACCCCATTCATAATTGTTTTCCTAAGAGCCTTGTCTTTGATCTCCCTCGTGAATTTTATATGATATGTCTAATGCAGTAGACATGCATAGAAGGAGGGTCATGCCAACCATTTGCAGGATTATTGTATACACACTCAATAGATGCATGTCTGTCGGAGATCAAACAAAGACCAGGTTGAGGAGCCACGTATATTCGGAGATTCTTGAGAAAGAAACTCCAAGCACCACCAGTCTCTCCCTCAACTAGAGCAAAGGAAATTGGGAAAATATTGTTGTTGCCATCTTGTGCAATTGCCATCAGTAGCGTGCCTTTGTATTTCCCGTATAACCACGTTTCATCTATTTGAATAATAGGTTTATAGGACGTAAACGCTGTGATGCAAGGTTGAAAAACCCATAACAGTCGATTGAATATTCCATTTCCATTGACATAAGTACCATCTGGGGCATACGCCGACAATGTTTCCATAATATAAACAGTTCCAAGAGAATACATCTAAAGTGAATGCAGGTAGCACAACAATTCTTTGTATCACTCCTCCCAGTTTTCATATACCTTTTCAATCGCCTTGGTCTTTGCTAACCATGCCTTTTTGTATGCCTGGGTATAATTGTATACTGTAGTGATGTGAGAGATTATGGTTTTCATCTTCAATGACGGATCATTGTTGACGAGAGGTAGGATTTCTTGACATATTAGATCATAATTTAGTTTACGATGATCTTGTGATTGAGTAGAATTGACGCACGTGTGGATGGACATATAACCTATCACCCAACAATCACCTCTTAACTTGTATGATGCAGTGAGCCTGAACATACAATTTGGGTGAACACACCTAAGCTTGTACCTTTCTGGATTTACCCGATCTATCTTAAAATCGATAGAGTTTAGCACGTGAAACTTTTTTATAGCTCGCATATAATCTTCTCTATTATGAAATTTGTCTTTCTCTTTTAAATTTTCATCCGACTGCATATACGGGTTGAAAAAACATCTGATGACGATTCATATTTGTCCATGTTGAAGTTTGTCATGTGTGAAGGTGGTGTGTAGATTTCATTCATAGGTATTTCAGGTAGCCCATCATCTTCAAAATCATCATTGACCATGTCGTCAAACTCTGACTCTTCATCTTCCTCTTTTTGTCAACGACATCTACTTCTGCTTGTTCGTCTTCAAGAGGATCAACCACTTGTAACTGAGTTGGTCGTGACAGCTGAGACTCCCACAGCACAATGTACAACTCAATTGAGTCGTACCCATAATACTCATGACTGGAAAACGTATTTTGAAGGTCCTCGTTATCTTGAACATTTACCTTATAAAATATTATTTGGTTCTCACAAAAAAAATCGAATTTTGATAGAAGATATGTGTCACTGGACATCGTCCAAGTTTAACCTCTAATCATTTTTTGAAATACAAGAAATTGGCTTTTCTGTTTAAACAAAATTGGATGTCCTCAGTGTCTCTAAATAAAAACGCAGAGGTGGGACAAATGTACATCTCACTGTTGATATATGCAATGATAACATATTATGGTGTAAAGGACATTATGTTTGAATGTTTGAAGGTTTGAGTGTTTGAATATTTGAATGTTTGAGTGTTGATAACATTAGATGCATGTAGGATAAATAGGTTTCATTAAACTTGAACAAGACAAAAGTGCTCCACTACTAATTCGCCAATTGAGATGGCGACACCTTTCAATTTTGCACTCATGCGCCAAATCAAATGGTGTTTCCTTACATGTCCTATCACCTTACATGCATGCGAAAAAGCATGCCCCTATGCTGCCACCTACTCTACATGTAGGCCTATCCCACACCAAGTTGAATGGTGTATGCTCTCTAAAATGCATGTAGGCACCATTTGACTTGGCGCCAGCATGACACATATTATGCATGCATGCAACCACAAACCACCTTATTAATTCACTCTTATACAATTTCGCCTATAAATATGGTGCCTGAGACACTTGTTTTGCATAAGAACTTTGAAAAAGCAAGAAAGTATAGTTGGGGTTCTGCTGTTTTAGCCCATCTATACAATTCTTTGTGTAAAAACACAACAAAGGACAAATGTACTTTTTATGGATGCACTTTCTTACTCCAATCCCAGGGTTGGTGGAGAATGGAGTCCTTAAACCCCGTCAACAATAATGCATTCATTTTCCCATACGCAACAAAGTAAGTCAAGAACTTAAATAATTTATTATTCAACCTTTCGCCAAATAAATGTATAAAATTAACTAATTTTCAATTCCTTTAGGTACTGCGTAACGGGTATGGATTACGACATGAATCCAAGATTCAATATCGCCCTATATCGTAATCTATTGGATCACCTTGGCCCGGATGACGTACGTGGTACCATTGAACTTTTCTACTTTTAAATTATTTATTTTTTACATTTTCATTATTCTGATTTAATTTTATCCACAGTTTATCTGGAGACCATATATGGGTTTAGACCATGAACCAAACCCCGAGGATGCAGTAGTTTAGACTGCAAAGACTGCAATCATACGATTCAATGTTATGGAGATGCACCACAATGATCGTGTCAAGATGCAGTTCAGAATACATCAAGAGATACCATGTGATCCAACTTGTTTGTCACTCTGACATCTCAAAAGGGTCGACGCCCAATGGGGTCTTACTAATTGGAAAGATTTTGCTCCAGAATGGTGTAAGATGTGGCATAGGCGTCACCAACATGTCTTGCAATTCTCTGTTTTCCTCAACCAAAATAATATGCGACACAGGGATCAATATTTTGATTGGTACAAATCAGTTAGTAACCCAGAAATGCACGTGTCTCATCTGAGGTATTTGGTCGACCCATGAACACAATGGGCACAAACCTCAAATACCCAACAACAAATCCAACGCACATCAACTTTCCACCAAACACCACGACGATACAAATCTACAAACACCCAACCACAATCACCACATCAATACCAATACACCCATATTTCCCACACCCAACCACAAATCGCCACCTCAATATCAATACACCCATATGCCCCACACCCAATCCCAATCTCAATCGCAATATCAATACACCCACATGCCCCATACACAATTCCAGTCTTCTCCATATTCTGATGTGGGCCCCTCATCATCTTACCTTAGCCCAGATCTAGGTTTTCCTAAAGAATATGACCTAACCGACCCAAATTATCATCAACCACCACATCACCATAGCACCCAACAATCGCAATACCAAACACCCGAAGATTCATTTCCTATTTACCCCTTTACTCAGACGACCAATGCTATAGACCATCCATGGAACTCCACCCTCCACCAAGACGACCAAACTTTGAGGGCATGGGTAACCGACTGTACCAAAGCGGATCTTCCAGATATGGTGATCTGACCGATTTCATGGATTCTGAACGCATTGACTTTGCTGGGCCATCGACCCAACTGTAACAAGAAAATTGACGAAACCAACCACGAGATAGGCGTGGACGCGGAAGCAGAACCACGGGTCGTTACCGAGTTCTGGGGGACAACTAAATAATATGCATGGTTTTTTTTATTATGTAATCGTTCATTTGTTAATGAAAAATTGAAGTTTCATGAAACTATATCGTTTACTTATTATCTCGTATTAAAATAGAAAGTAAAAAAAACTCTTAAATGCACTTAGGCGCCATCTGAGATGACTTAGGGCAATCGTGTTGCACCTAAGCGTCATCTCACTTGGCGCCTCCTTCTAAAATTAAAGTGCATGCGTCATCTCACTTGACGCTTCGATTGTAGTATTTTCTGAAACATGATTATTTGTGTAATTTTTTTCGAAACATGATTATTTCTGTATTGTTTTTCAATACTTAATTATTGCTAAAAAAATTCTAAGTTATTCTCTATCAAAATAAAAAATAAAAAAAACTTGAGACCATTGGACTTTTCCTATCCGGCCAAGTTGGGCTTTTCTTTTCAGAACTTATATAGAAAAGAAACCACGTCGTCCGGCCGGATTGAAGAAAAACAAATAAATCACACACTTGTTAGAAGTGCTTTGGTTTGTAAATTTTATCTATTATATCGGTAGCAACTCAAAAAATCGAATCAAGGTATGAAAGTCGAATTTCGTTCTTTAATCTCTGTTTAGGGTTTTTCTTCCTCTTTCTGATTTGATTACTTTTACGAATAGGGATTTGATCTGAAACCAGTGAGAATGGATTTGTCGGCGGTGACGGCGGCATTGGAATTGAAATCGTACAACAAAGTTGCCGATATCCTCGACAATCTCATGCTTCAGGTTGCAGCCGACGGTGTTGCTTTTCACAATGACTGGCCCTACGCCATTCATCTTCTCTCTCACTTTTATGTTCATGACATGTAATCATCTTTTTTCATTCTTCATATTTTATTATTCATCATGTATTTGTATATAATACTGTGTAATTCTAGTAGTAAGTTACATTAATTCTATGAATCACTGACACCGGAAACACGACACTAACACGGTACATGAGTGACACTGACAGTGAGATGTGCTTATGAATTTAAATAAGCTGTTTATCTAAACATGATTAATATTTTTGGAAGGGATTAGGTTGGTTATATTTTATGTCTTTCACCTTTTGTTTACTTTTAGGTTTTTATGTTTTCTGTTGTGATATTGCAGCAACAGTGCTCGTTTTCTATGGAAAACCATACCTTCCTCAATCAAAGAAAGCAAACCTGAAATCACTGCTGTGTGGAAAATTGGTCAACAGCTTTGGTTAAGGAACTATGGTGGAGTACATGAGGCGATCCGTGGTTATGAGTGGAGTCAAGAACTCCAGGGTTTCATTTCTGCTTTCTCAGGTAAGCATTTAAGATTTTGTTTGTCTTTTTCAGCAGAGTTGTTATTGTGAATGTTCTGTAGAAAGGCACTCTTGGTTCTTCACTATTTTTAAGACAGGATTTTGTTCACTTTAAATATCTTCATAAAAATCTAACTCTATATGCTGTTACATAGACTTCTAGTTTATCTAAATGTTGCCCTTGCTTTTATTGAAACCCATTATATATTGTTAATAATGACAGTAGGCTATACTTTTTATACAAGAACCAAGTCAGACATTTCTGTGTGAGAGGATCAGCAAAGCATGGGTGTATTGATTATTGATTAAACCTATAGTATTATCGTCTGTATGCACTTTGCACTACTGTATATATTGTTCAAGAGAGCATGCTGTAGCGGAATAATGAAGTGGTGGTAGGGTTCAGTGTGATTATATTCTATTGGTCCGCGAGCCACTGTAGAGGCCGCTAATTGCATCCCTAAACCGCTATCACAGCCGCTATTAAATTTTTTGGGATAAATTCCTGAATTTTTTAACTGCTGTCTCTTTTTAAAGGGTATAAATTTCAATCGGAGCCCTTTAATGTTATGTTCTTGCTCTAAAAGATTAGTTTTTTAGCTATGAAGTATGATGATCTCTTTAATTTTGTGTATTAGTCTATTTTAAAGTATTTATGTTTACTTTGTACACTGGTTTTTTAGTCTTTGCAATAGTAGCCATCCGCTATTAGCTATACCTCTAGCATTTTAGGGGGTCGGTGCTACCCTTATCCGATATTAACAACATAGATTTACATATTATGCTATGGATGCCAATTATTGGCTAAAAAATATTATTGGTTGTTTGTCCTAGCAGCACTACTGTATATTTGGTGTTCAAGATAAGATGTTGCTGCAGTACGTTACTGATAGAAACCATTCACAAAAAGTTGATTTAGTTTGATGGTAAATTAAGGTTGTGTTACTCCTATATAGTTTAAACTTGGGAAGAACAATGATTAGTATCCTATTTTTGTCTGTTATCTTCCTCTTTTGCATCTATATGTGTTTTTTTCCTTCCGAAGATGGTTAGTACAGTGCAAATCTTAATAGCAATTTGCTGTTTCCAGAACTTTACACAAAAGAGGTTTTTCAGCTGCTTGTATCTGCTTATTCTACAATAAGTATTGAGGATGCTGCTTTATTTCTGGGAATGAGTAAAGACGATGCTACAAGTTGTAAGTAATTTCAGATTTATTTTTAATTAAACTATGCATATCTATTTGTTTTAGCACCTCTTGGATCATAAACATTGCAGACCTGATCAAACAATTAAAATTAAATAACATCAAGCAATCAGCGTTTTTTATACTTTGATGGGGGTCAATATTTGGAGGCAAACATTATTTCCGCTTGAGTAGATGAAGTTTATTAGTGCTCGGACCCTATCCTTTCTTGGGGACCCTTGAACTGAAAATACTCCTTTGAATCTTGCACTTAGATATTGACTGTAAAGGAAACTTATAAAAATTACACTTTAAGCCCAAACCAACATGATTATTGACTCTCAATGGTGAATCTGTGTGCTGTCAACTTGCGGCGCTAGAGAGCCATAACTAGTGGCATTTTGACAAAACACTTTTGTTCCATGATACATAATTTAGTACAAGTGTTGTTGAGTTGCAGCTATAGTGGCACTATAATGCTGTAGGCAGCGAAATTTGATCAATCTACTATTGATTGTAAAGGGCGGACTCTGATACAGCTTGTGTTTAGTCAAAGTAGATTCTAGCTGTCCTTGATCTTTTCCTGTGTAGGCTGTAGATTACCTCATAAAAAAGATATGATAAAATGTGATGGCCGATAAGAGAATTTTTTAAGGTTCATTATGCACTATGTGATGTAATCAAAGAAAGCTATGTAGATATAGCTGATAGTCCTGTTTGTTAGTGACACCTATGCTGGATTGTTATTATCGTAACTTTTCAACACAATCTTTTACCTCTTAAATGGTTTATATAAAACAATTTTCCTATGTAGACTGTAGAGTAGCTTGCCAAAATGAATGAAAGATTACAACTTCCCTGCACTGGCAAATATTAACTGTTTAACTTGTCTCTTCTAGAAATAGTAAAAATTGGATATTGTTTACACTTTTGTGCTTGAATTGAAAAATCGGGAAACTTATAAAATTTACACTATAAGCCCAAACTAACATGAGTATTGACTCTTGCTGGTGAATCTGTGCTGTCATATTGCGGCGCTATAGCGCCATAACTAGCGGTATTTTGACAAAACGGTATTTTGATAAAACACTTTTGTTCCATGATACATAATTTAGTACATGTGTTGTTGAGTTGCAGCTATAGCGGCACTATAATGCTGTAATTTAGCGTAATTTGATCAATCTACTATTTTCCGCCATCTACAATTGACAACACTGATTTCTTACAATTTACATTAAGTGTTATGAAAAACTATAACCTTTGCCCGCATTTGAAAAATTCATCAAGGATTATATTTTATCAACCATGTCCTCCCTTCCTATGATATCATTATTATTAAATTTTTTGATTGTATGATTGTAGATGTGCTACAGCAATGTTGGACTGTGGACTCTTCCTCTGGGATGCTAACTGTGAAGAAGCAGCCTGTTGTGACAGAGCAGAAGCTAGATCCTCGAAAATTGCAACAGCTGACCGAATATGTCTTTCATCTTGAGCATTGAAGCTATTTTATCTTGTGAAGGAATTAGATTACTGTATTCTAAAACTCTTCCTTATTGATCAATCACATGATCTGTCTTCTTAAAATTGTATGATTGTTCATATATCCTGTTGATAGTTTTGGAAAACCAGGCAGAATATTTCTTGTGTTGTTACTTGAGCACTGGTTAGGTTTATTTTGCATTGCACTTACTCAGTAGTTATTGACCATGACTTTCTCTTGCATGACGGTGAAACAGTAAAAAATTTGCAAGTGGAAATGATAATCGACAAGTTATCACTGGCACATCATTGTATTTAACTTGTTAAAAATACTTAACGACACGTGCATGTCAACAGCGGTACTAATTTTAAATGAATAAATTGAATGTAATTACATGTGTCAATATTGAACAGTAACACATGTTGGATATCATGTATATCTTTATTCAGAAATGTCGGTGCTATAGTGATTCTTACATCATAAGGTGTTAGATAAATAGTATGATAGCTCGATAAGCTCGACCTTGAACAAAGAGTTCAATAGTGTTACCATTGCCAAACATTAAACTGCAAACTTGTGATTAGTATGTGTCCATGGTGTTGGTGTGGATTACTTGCACCCCAATTATCATCTCAAGCAGGGCTTGCAGTCATTATATAAGCAAGATGTATTTTGATTGCTTAAAATCTCTCTTTGTACAGAGAATGCCATGAAATCTTTATCTGGAACTATCTACAATTTGAAGAGAAATAATAAAAACTGCCAAAAGATCTAGTCCCCAAAACCTATCTCTCCCACACGGATAATATAATCTTATAAAATCGTTTTATAAAATCTTAAAGAATATGTTTCAGTAGAACATCACTACTAGACTGTGAAAACAAAATTCTATTCTCCACTATTTATTAACAACCTAAACTAATTGGCTGTCAATTCTCCACAATTTATCAACGACCTAAACTAATTGGCTGTCTCTATCTCTCCTATACTTGAAGAATCGGCAACAAAATTATGCATAACCAAAAGCAGTATTCAGAATAAAATATAATGTTTCAGCCTATAGCTATTTAAAAGTATCGAAAGACTATAATATTAATATTACATTAGTATATGGAACCTGTATTTTAACTTATCTAAAGTTAGCTTCTAACACAAGTCAGTTATCAATGTAACCTAATTCTTATCAAATGGAGCTACAACAACTATAGGATCTGTAACTCTATACAATTCTTCAATATATCGAATCCTCTTTTTCTTCCTTCTCAATCCTTCATCTTCTTCTATCTCCGCCAACACATCTTCAACCGAATCACCACCAGGCGACGAAGGTGAAATATCATCACTGCCCTTACACTCTTCCAGCTTCCATTGCAAAGTCACACTATTGCTGCTATAGCTATGGCTATGGCGATTTTCATCCAAGTAGGTTGTCCCAGATTGCGTCTCTCCATTGCTATTGCTAAGTTGAATCAACTGTTCCGCTATATCGATCTCCATTTCAGAAAAAGAACCGAACTTCTTGTTATTCTCGTGTTCCAT